AATATTCTAATAGAAAATCTAATATTGATTTGCAACCATCAATATTTTGGTATAGATGTTGTTCTGAACTTAACGTATATATTCATATCTATTATTTGTGTATAATCTGGATTTAAGCACTAGTGACTGAAAACCGAATTAAGCATTTAACTGCATGTTTTGAAAACTTGTTGTTATGTGACATCGACTCACTTGTGACTCATAGCGACCCTATGGACAAAAGCTCTGAAATCTATCCCATCATGAACCAAGCTCACTGTCTCTGACACATCTCCCCCTATAAAGCCAGTTATTGTGTCGAATCCTCTTATCCAAGGTCTTCCTCTCCTGTGCTGTCTCTCCACCCTTCCAAACATGAGTCCTTCTTCAAGGACGGGTCCTTCCTGCGAACATGTCCAAAATATGTGAGATAGAACTTCAAAATTCTTGCCTCCAGAGAGCAACTTGATTTCTTCCTCTTCAGGATAGACTTGTTTATTTTCTTAACAGTCCACGATATGTTCAGTATTCTTCTCCAGCACCATAACTCAAAAGCATGAATTCTTCTTCTGTGTTCTCATTCATTGTCCAGCTCTCTGATGCATATCAAGTAATTGTGAAGACTAAGGCCTAGACCAGGCGCACCTTAGTCTGACTGATATCTTTGCTGTTCAGAATGCACTAAGCATGCCACTTAATATTGTTTATGATAAAGATGTCATTTTCAGTAACATATGGTATCTCATGATGTTATTGCAATGAATTATCTTATTAACTGCCTATTGTTGGATAATTTATGGGTTTTGATATTTTAGAAATGTGATTACTCTGTACACACATATACTCATATAGTTGTTTGTTGTGCCAGAACCAACCAATAGCTGACCCTGCAGGTAGGTTTTCAGAGGCAGTAAATCACACGGGAGGAGTTTGTCCATCTTTCTCTCACAGAGCAGCTGGTGGACTAAAACTTTGTAACTCTGCACTGGCAGTAAAATCAATAACCACTAAGTCACCACACACACACACACACACACACACACACACACATACATCTTCACTCTTTACACACACACACATCTTCATTCTTTTCCAGAAAGACTCTAGAATTTTTTATACCATAGGCAGTGTATGAGCTTTCATATCCTTCATAGGCTTCCAACAAAAAGGTGTCATCATTCATTTTTGTTTTTATCACTTTAATCAGAGGAAAATGCTAGCGTATTTGTATTTTAGCTTTAATTTGCATTTTTCTAATGAGCTAGAACATTTCCACATGTTTATTGGTCATTTCAGTTTTATGAATTAAATATCTAGTTCTTAGATTTTTCTATTAGAATATTCATAATTTATGAAAAGAAGTTTATTTTATAACTTTTAGCTTTTTAAATTAAAACTGGGAAAAAATGAGAGGACAGCTTCAGCTTCAGGACTTTAAATCCCTTCTTTGTAAAAGAGGATGACTTGATTGAGTGATGTTCAGGATCTGTCATATTCTCCCACATAAGACACAGTGGTATCTCAGGTCTCTGAAGGTGATTTTTTAATTATATCACTGCCTAAGAAGGAAGCAAGGGCTCTGGTGGCTCAGAGGTAAAGAACTGTGCTGTCAACTCAAAGGCACGAGGTTCAAATTCAGCAGCTGCTCATCGGGAGTAAGATGGACAGTATCCTCCCAATGTTAATGGCCTCTGAAAACCCACTAGAAGGTTAGCTATCAATAGGTTCTGACTTGAATGTACACAACAACAACAACAACAAAGAGTGATGCAGTGCTTGAGTGTTGCATGCAATTCATATGTCAAGCAAAAAAGTTCAGGTTCAAGTCCACCTACAGAAATCTGTAGAAGAAAGGCCTAGCCTAAGAACCATAAATTTAAAGCCCAATTGACCTGAGTTCTACTCTGACATACACAGAATTGTCATGAGTCAGAATTTACTTCTTTGTCACCACTTCTAGTCTTAAACCTTAGCAATTACACTAAATTTTTTTTCACCAGTATTTTCCAACATTCTTGATTTCTCTGAAAAGAAATTGTATATTGCACAAGTTATCTTAACACACACATATCTTTAGAATCTGTTATTTATATTTTCCCTTTCTTTTATTATTTAAACAGGAAAATAAGAGACAGAATCTTGGCTTTTCTGAAGCTTCTTAAAAAATACAGCAAGTACTTCATAACTTCCTCTTGGATTTAATACCTGTATAGACTATTTTTGTCCAGACCCAAAATAAATAATGTAATTTTTGGCAAATGTTCCTGTAAGCACTTTCAACAGTGCATTAAAATTGTATACACATAATTTTCTAGAATGAGGAAAAATAAACAGGCTACTGTCAAGTATAAAGGAGCCCTGGTGGTTCAGTGGGTTGGGCATTGAGCTGCTAACTAACAGATTGGCAGTTAGAATCCAAGAGCCACACCCTGGGAGATAAATGAGGCAGTCTGCTTCCATAAAGATTTAGAGCCTTGCAACAGTTCTTCCCTGCCCTATAAGGTCACTAATAGAATTATTCCACTGCAGTAGGTAGGTTATACTGTCAATGATTTCATCTTACTTGGATCCGCAGTCAATAATTTTGGTGTCAGGAGTCAGGAGATCAGATGAATCATTGCTCCGAGCAAATCCATTGTCAGGGACCTCCCTAAAATCCTGAAGAGCAATGATGTCAGTTTGAAGACTAAGGTATGTCTTATTCAGGCCATAATCTTTTCAGTCACTTGGTGTATATCTGAAAGGTGGACAATTAATAAGGATGACAGGAGAAGAACTGCTGCCTTTGAACTGTGGTTCTGGAGAAGAGTACCAAATATGCCATGGACTGGCCAAAGAACAAACAGATATGTTTTAGAGAAGGTTCAGCCAGTGTGCTCCTTTGGAGCAAAGATGGGAAGCTTTATTTCTCACACTTTCGACGTGTTGCTAGGAGACGCTATGCTCTGGAAATGTGGAGTGACGGTCAACAAAAGAGAGAAAGACCCACAAGGAGATGTGACTGTAGCAATGGGCTCAATTGTGTCAAAAATGGTGAAAATTGAACCAGATAGGTTTTCCATGGGGGCACTATGAGTCATACTAGACTTGATGATAACAGTAACATACAATAAATTAGAATTTGTGTATGTGGATGAATATGTGTATGCACATGTGTGTAAAGAAACTGCAAATAGGTATTCTCTCTCTCTCTCTCTCATTTATCTATACATATATTTAAAGGTGCATTAAAATCTCAATTGCACATAATTCTCATCCACCAGTGCTTAACAGGAGAAGGATTGACAAAAATCTCCTCCTGTGCATTTTACTGCCTTTAAAAACCTACTGGAGGGTCAGCTCTGAGTCCATTCCAACATAACACACAACAAATATATACATATACATATACATATACACATACACATACACATACACATATATATGCTTGTTGTGTACCACAGTGTCACAACCGACCTATGGGTGACCCTCTGGCAGGTATACAGAAGCAGTTAATTTCAGTTATGCACATGAGAGGAGATTACTCATCATTTCCCTGCAGAGCAGCTGGTGGACTTGAACTGCGCACCTACGGAATTGCAGTGCAGCTTCTTGCCACTAGGAGATATACATGCAACGGTGGTTTATTTTATCCATTCACCGTGAACTTTATTATTCCAAGCTGTCTATTGTTCTAGACCAGTCTGCTAATCTCTCCTGGGCCACTGCTCTGTGTTTTCCTTCTCAAGGCCATTACTCATTCATGCTTTCTCCAGGGCTATAAAGCATGAGCAGTCCTGCAACCCCAGCCCACACCATCATTCCATAAAGTGCCGAGTGATAGGAAAGTACTCCATGGCTGTACACGCATCAGAAACTCTGACTTGCCAGGGCCTGATCTGAAAGGACAGACTAATTAACAACCTATGGGTCGACTTTGAGTTATGACGGACAAGAGAGAAACTGCTTGTATTTTCTATCTCCTCTTGGACTACAGGGAGACACGGGAACTAATGGAGCTTTTTAATGTCACATGACCTAGCAAGCTAGCTCTCTGTTCATTTCAAAGCTGTTTCCCACCCAATAATGTACCACCATTATTTGATTTATCTTATTTTCTCTTATATCCTTTCTTTCCACTCATTTTCTGTCTAACATCCCTTCTCACATCCCTTTTCCCTTCTTTTCTGAGCTTACACGTCTAAAATGAATGATATTGAAGGTTTGCCGTAGTATTAAGGATTCCACCAGCTTAAAAAGGAACTCTGATGGTGTAGTATGCAGTGTGTTGCTCTGGTTACCAAAAAAAGCAGCAGGTCTTTCAGTTTGAAACTCACTAGAGGGTCCAGGGGAATAAGATAGACATTCTCCTGTTGTCAAGATTTACAGATTCAGAAACCCATAGGTCAGAATCAAATCAATGACAGTGAGATAGGCAAAATAAATACATTATTTTAAAATTTTACTTCAAAAACTCCAATGTGGAACTATATCCAATTTTCACTGACCTGCCTACTAAGTCGACTTAGGTCATGTTACCCACTATGAGTTCCTCAAATATTACCATTAAAATACGTTTGTTTTTATATTTATGGGAAGCAGGATAATCTCTCCTCTTATCAGCTCATCCACCCTGCTCTCCACTTTCTAATCCCCCACTCAGTCCTTGAGGTTGAAGCTTGGGGTGTCAAAATCAAGCAATTAAAACTTAGAAGCATTTTATTAGACGGCATTTCAAATTATTTGATAACAAGAGCTGCTGCTGAATCAGCAATGCTGGAAAACTCATGTGAGCTGAACTCAGGATGTATCAAAATTCCGTGATGCATTTCTTGAGATGATAATCCCAAAATCAAAGTATGTAGTGAACGCATTATAGGGAGTATAAAGTTAAAAAGTATAAAGGTTATTCTTGTTCAGGCCAATAAATGTCACCTGCCAGAAAGAAAAAAATCAATTCTCCGTTGAAGTGAGAGCATATTTTATTCATAAAGCATTTAATTCATCGAAACCTTGCAAGACGCCACCACATGAACACTGACCTGTGAACAGGTACCAAAGGTTGTTCGGCTCCAGGGTTTCCATCTCCCCCCTTCGGGGTGTTTTTCTGTGTCGAATTTTATAGCCTGTAATAAATCCATTTTGTGTTTCTGAGGGAGGAGGCAGCCAGCTTACTTTGATGCTCTGTAAAAATAATAGAAATTAAAACATGAGAGAAAGGAAGTGGTCCTAATGGAAGTGTGATGATGCAGGCAGGGGAAGACGTCAGAGGTTGGCTCCCAAGGCCCATTCCTTACCATCTAGCAGCACTTCTCTTTGTCTGATTTTAACAAAAATATACCAGATCCATCTGATTGGTTATACGTGTTATTAGCGCTTCTTTGCAAAGCATTTTGTTTTGCAAAACATTTTTAAGATGATAACAAAATATCTTAAAATGCCAAATGCCTTACATAGATACAGAACGAGGCTATTGTGTATGAAAAAAATGCCTATAAATACTTGCAAGTTATGCAATGCATGGAGTTATGATGACAACGTAAGGAAGAAGGAGGGAAAAAATTCTCTCCCTCTGTCTGTCTGTCTGTCTGTCTCTCTCTCTCTCTCTCTCACACACACACACACACACACTGGAATTTTCCTAAATGTTATTTTAGGAAAGCCCGGAAATGGTATTTCTCAAAACTCAAGTTCATTATCTTAGAGTCAGAACTGACGAACTGACTCCTGGCTGGTCCTCCAGCAGGTTTTCAGAGATATCTCTAAATCTCACAGGAAGAGAGTGCACATGCTTTACCCAGGGGGCAGCTGGAGGATTCAAATGATACACTTTTGGTTTGGCAGCACAACTCTTAAAAGAGAGGGTCAAGTCAAGGTGCTAAAATAGGGATGAACTGAAAGCCATAAAGATCAGTTTATCTCCAAGGTTTCCAAGCCTTCCTGATTTGGGAGTCAAAGTCAAAAGCCAAAGTCAGAATTGAATAGGTGACTCTCTAGAAGAATTTTGGAGGCTATAAATCACACAGGTTGAAAGAGACTGCTCATCTTTCTCCTGCAATGCTCCTGGTGGGTTCAAACTGCCAGAAAGATGCCACTTTGGGCAACAGCAGATCTCCCCAAGGACACCACCAGGGCACCCTGACCTTGGAGTAATTGAGACTTTTTCTTTTCTGAGGACATAGAAATAGAGGGTTTATTGTCCCAAATGGCTTTCCTCGTCATTGACTTTGACTTTCCATGTGAATGGGAGGAAATATGCAGATAGAGAATGTTAGTTTGTCCGCAAAGGGATTGGCTAGTCTCACCACTAATTTGAGAAGGTTCAGCAGCAGATTCGGGGGAATCTCGCCACCAGCAACGAGGATGCAGAGAAGGCAGAACACACATCCTGTAGGGCCAAAGTCTGCTGTGGCGCTCAGAACGGGCCTACAGAAGCAGCGGCGGCCACAGCAGACAACCGGAGACCCGACACGAGACAAAGCTGACTTGGGGACTGCTGCTACACAACGGAATGAAAGCTAGGACTCTTTGCTCAAATTTTGTGGTGGAGTTGGGGGGAGATTGAAAATTGGTAGGACTGAGTTTTGTTAACACTAGCTTAAAGCCACAAGAATGAAGGATGAGGGTGTATGTCTGTGAGCACATTTCTACAGCTGTCCTAATTGATTATAACCTTCTGCTAACCAAGCCTTCGACTCCCCCAACAAGCCCACAATCATGAGTCTGGTTTTATGTACTCTAAAGGCTATTGCAATGGTTTGGGACCCAAAAGAGCAGTAAGGTTGTTGTTGGCATTAGGAGAAATAGGTCTTGGAGCTTGGAGGACATATCTGACCTCATGGGAATTGGTTCTGTTTTGTAGGTACTGATTATAGAGAGAGTTCTCCTTTATGCAGTTAGTAGAGGTCAGATATGGCCATCTCCACATGTCCCATTATGGCCTTGCTCCTTTCATTCATAAATATTACGCGCAGAAGAGAACAGTGAGAAGGGTGAGTATTAAGTCAAAGACTTCCATTGTATAGTAAGAACTAGTCTAGATACATTCTTTTAAGGAAGTTAATAGTTAAAACCAAGATAAAAGAAATGCCTGACCATTCCCCTCACCAGGATAGCCGCTATATTTAACAAGTCCCACTCATGCTAGAATTACAACTTGCAATCAGCTTTTAAGGACCTCACTTATAATTCAAACTGGAAATTCAAGATCACAGCACCTCACAGAAAGCCTCCAGCAGGAAGATATCAATTTCTTACTTCAATATAAAAAAAAAAGTAATGACACCTGAAGAAAACACAATCAGGTACATAGCAGAAGAATGATCCAGTGCTATCTTTAAAAATAGTCTCAAGGTCACCTAGGAAGACATATTGCAGCCGTAAAAAAAAGGAGGGCAAAAATACAGAATAATGAGAAATTAAAAAAGAAAAGCTTTGGGCAATTATAATTTGATTGGACATATTAAATATTTAATAGCAGAGTAGGAAGATAAATGAAATTCCCAGAGTTTAGGAGAAAAAGACAAAGTCATAGGAAATCAGAAAAAAATGTAAGAAACACAGGTTTAGTTTCTAATTTCCAACACACAACTAAATATTGAGGTTTGTTACTGTTATTGTGTATTGTCGAGTCAGAATTGACTCACAACTGACCTTCCAGTGGGTTTTCAGAGATAGTGAATTGCGTGGAAGGTTGCCAAGTTTCCTCTTTTAGATGGTGGGTTCTAATTACATGCCTTTGGGTTGGCAGCACAGCTCCGTACCCCTAAGAACTAAAGCTCTCTAACTCTTAAGATAGAAAACATGAAATCAGAACATGCAGAAGGCAGCAACTTAGCAAGCATAAAATTCACCCTACCAATAAAATCCTTTCAGAACTTGAAGACTTGGTACTCAAGTCTGAAAGGCACTAAAGAATGACTAACAGAATAAATGAAACCATAAATACAACAAGGCATGCCAGAGCACACCGACTGGGTTAGAGGAGGAAGATCCACACATTTTCAGAGGTGGAAAGACAAAAAGCAGGTCACATAAGAGAAATCAGGAATCAGAACACAAATTCTCAACAACATTCATACTTAAAAAACAACGGACAACAGTGAATTCTAACCTTAGAGAATTTTAAATCTAGACACCTATGGATAGCCAAATAGATAATCAAATATGTTGTTGTTGTTGTTATGTGTCGTTGAGTCGCCTACGACTCATAGCGACCCTATGTACAACAGCCCTAAACTCCATTCTGTCCTGTGCCAATCGCACCGTCTCTGACACTCCCATCCCAATTATCCTAGTCACTGAATCAATCCACCTCATAGAGGGCCTTCCTCTCCTGCACTGTCCCTCCACTCTTCCAAGCATGATGTCCCTCTCCAAGGACCGGTCTCTCCTCACAACATGAGCCACCCGGTTTAACCCTTTCCAGGACAAATCTGTTTGTTTTCCTAGCAGTCCATGGTATTCACAATACTCTTCTCCAGCACCACAGCTCAAAGGCATCAATTCTCCTTCTATCCTCCTTGGTCATTGTCCAACTCTCTGATGCATAACAAGTGATTGCGAAGACCAAAGCCTGTATCAGACGCACCTTAGTCTCCAGAGAGACACCATTGCTCTTCAGTACTTTGGAGAGGTCCCTAACAGCAGACTTTCCGATGGCAATGTGCCTTTTGATTTTCTGGCTGCTGGTGCCAAGACTGTTGACTATGGAGCCAAGCAAACTAAAGCTGTGTACAATCATATAATACAAGTATGATAATGTTCACTTGTATTACTTTTGTTTGGATCATCAAGTGGACTACAATTCACAGTGACCCTATGAACAAAAGATCAGAACCTTGTCCTATTCTGTGCCATTATCACAATCTCTGCTATCCGTGAGTTTGTTGTTATGACACTATGTGAATCCACCTAGTGGCACATCATCTTCTTTTTCACTGACCCTTCGCCTTTCCAACATGATGCCTCTTTCTAAGGACTAGTGCCTCCTGGCAACATCTTAAAAAAAATCCGAGATGAAATTTCATCTCCTTGTCTCTGAAGAGCACTCTTATTGTACTTGCTCCAAGACAATATAATCACATTTGGAAGACAGCCAACAAAAGGAGGGGAAATATCAATGAGATTATATATCAAGAATAGTGGTAAGCACGTCAATGATCATAAAAATCGGATACAACTTAACAACAATTCCTCCTATTATTCATAAAATTAACATGAGCTAGAGCTGACTCAACAACAGCTATTACAACTCCTAGTACAATAAAAAATAGTCTCACACATTTTGTTGCAAGAGATACTCATCTTTATTTCTTCATCAACGTGAAAATGTGAATGTAAGCCAAGGGTGTGAAACATGAAAATGTGAATGTAAGCCAAAGAAGGGGAAAAAAAGATGAACTTCAAGAAACAGAGATAGTCAAACAGAAGGAAACATATGGAATTCACAAAATCACAGTGTAGAAAATGCCTAGTATAAATGTACAAAATGTGTTTTTTTTTTAAATTGGTAAAAATACCATAAAAGGTAATACATAACCAAAAAGAAAACAAACAAAAGAACAACCACTGCTGTTGCTCTTTTGTGCAATCACACACCTCATGGTATTTAGTTTCTTGGGTTGGAGGTTTTGGGCTGTGGGTTCACGGGACATCGCGATTAACTGGTCTAATTATGTGCTTAACGTTTCTGTTCTATTTCTTACTTTACTGTGTAGCTTTTGAAGCTTCAGAAGCCTGTACGTAGCATCTAAGCTAGAAGAATTGGTTTCTATTTGCCTGGGGCAACAGAGATAGACTAGGGGGAGAAAATGGAATGTATGACGGATTGGCTGTCTGAACAGCTGACTCCTTTGTCATGTGAACACAAGAACTGGAAGGGGCCCAGTCCCCATCATTGCGATGTCAGAATTTGTAGAAAAATCATGATCAAAGGGTTGTTGTTGTTGTTTGATGCCATCAAGTCGTAGACGACTCATAGCGACCCTGTGAACGAACGGCCTGAGCACTGTTTGTACATAGAGTTTCTGGAGGCAAGCCATTTCGGAAGTGGATGCTGCTCCTGCTTCCAGGCTTGATTTAGTTTGGAAACTCCAACCAACACTGTCCACCATGGGTGCCCATTACCACGACTGGCACATCGCTGTCACAGTCTTCAGCATCACAGCAACCACGAGTTACCT